GGGGCGCGCGTGACAGTAGGGCAGCGCGCTAGGGCAGGCAGTGCGAGTAGCTGCAGGGCAGCGTGACACTGTGCGAGAGGGCCGCTCAGCGCAAGGGCGCTTCGGGCAGGAACTTAGCAAAACGATCCGTGGGCCCTAAAAACTTAACAGGTTCCTGCTCTGAATACCATGTCAGAATAACTGTGCAGGAATGATTGGATTAGCAAGAGTTGGGGTACAAGTACTAACCCTAAAAGTGCTGTACCCCATAAGTAAGATTGTACTTTGACAGCAGGGCCTATTTTCCCAGACCAAAATGGTATGATTTTCTGATATACAAACCTGCTTTTTGGGCTTGGTCCGAATTGTCAGAATTTCTACCTTTACAGGTCTGAATTTCAGACAGAATAATATGAGCAACTCTGATTCCCAAACAAGTTGAGATTTTATAGTACCGTATGGCCCCGGATATAAGCGCAGGCCTATGTTAAGCGCATGCGCTTGTATCTGGAGCAATGCGCTTATGGCCGATCCTCAATTATAAGCGCACCCCTTGGAAAATCGTGACTTATTATAAGCGCACCCATTTAGTAAAAAAAAAAAATTAACATTTTTTTTTTTTAACCTACCTAGCCTACATGTTCTAATCTTTACATTAACTTAGACAATCACATACAAGGGTGGTCTTTGCTGTCCTGCACTACACACCTTTCAACCTGCCTAGTCTACCCTACTGCCTATTCTTCCTCCTCGTCCGACTCGGGCTCGGTGGAGTTGTTGCCCCAGAACCCATCTGCCTGGATGTCGTCGTCCACCTCCACCTCATGGGACAACTGGCCTCTCCGGTGCGCCAGCACCAGTTTGTCTTCGCTCCCATCAAGGGCGTTGCTTATGCCACACGTGAGGAAGGCTCTCTTGATCAGGTCGGCGGGCACCGCCTTCCACGCCCGGGAAATCCACTTGAGCACCACCTCCGGAGGTGGTTTCTTGATGTTCCCTGCATCACACGGAGTGGGGCGGGGAAAACATGAGACAACTAAACAGGCATACAAGCTCAAGATTTGCAGACGGGAGCACATGTCGTCACTCACCTGCCGGGGTCAGGATGTTCATGCCGTCCGCCTCAAACCAAGTCTGGTACTGCTGACGAATGCTTGCTTTGAAGCTTTTGTTGATCGACACATCGAGGGGCTGCAGGTCTGCCGTGCAACCCGCCGGAATGATAGCAGGCACGATGTTGAGCGCCGCGAATCTCTCCTTGACTTCTGGTGTCAGGTGACCGCAATACGAGTCGAGCACCAGCATGGCGCTACGACTCTGCAGGCCGAATTTCGGCTTCAGGAACGGCACCACGCCCGTGTTGAGCCACTCGATGACGCCAGCGGCAGCCGACCACAACATCTGCACGCAAGGAAAAAGAACGGTTGACGACTCTGGTAGTAACGGGAATAAACACGCGCGACGATCACGTACCGTTCGGGAAGTCACCCTTGGGGAGTGTCTTGCGCTTGAAAAACACCCACGGCTTCAGCTTCTCGCCCGTCGCCGTGCACGCAAGCATGACGGTCACTCTCTCCTTCTGGTACCTACCGCTGCGGATGGGCACCGACCTCACGCCCGTCTGCTCCACAGTGGTCGTCGCCGGCATCTCCAACCACAGCGGTGTCTGGTCGGCGTCGATTATGTAGCGGTTGTCAATGTCGTATTCGTTCCGGGCGTCACGTACGTACTGCCAAAAATCCTTGCACTGCTCAGCCACGTCTGCGGAACAGGGAGATAAGTACACATAGTAAACCAAATTAGTATCACGCACAGGAGACATGCGAAAAAGAAACTAAGCATAATCGGGATAAATCAAAATCAGCAGTAGACGACCCACTTACGCTCCAGTGTTTTCTGCGCCACCTTTGTTTTCATGCGCACGGTGAGGTTCCACCGCTTGCGGAACCGCTCCGTCCACCGCTGACTGCCTTTCCACTTGACGTCCGGGAAGAGAACCTTCATCACTTCTTTGGACCACTCTTGCAGCCGGCCGACCGAAACCGCAACTCCGCGGCGTCGCCAGTCGAGGAGTTGCGCGTATACCTTTAACTCCATGGGGCGGTGCCAAGACGCCCTCCCGCGCCCGTGAAGTCGCATCCGTGCTCCGTGTGCAGCCTTGAGCGCCTCCGCTTGGGCTTTCCATTCTGTCAGACATTTTCGGTGTATGCCTGACTCCCGCGCCACTTCGCTCACCGAAGCCGCAAGCTCGAGCCGCACGAGCCACCTCAACTTCTCCTGGGCGGTGTAGGACTACCGCTTATGTTGACTCTGCTTGTGCCTGGGGGAGGGGGGGCGGGCATCTCGATTCTCGGTAGACGGGTGGGGGCGTTTTTTGTTAAGGGGCGGATACGTCGGTATCGGCATCTTCGCGCGTGGTGCGTCGCGCCACCAGGACTCCACACCGTCCTCGTCCTCGGCAGTTGTGTCACGGTCGGGGAACACGTCTTCCTCGTCGCCCGCTGCACCGGCGCCACCAGCTTCACCGTCGCCTCCAGCTTCGCCGGCGCCGCTGTCATGTTTATCGGCGGCCACATCATCGTCGGCGCCCACAGCCGACTCATCCCACGCGCAGGATTCAGGTTGTCCCCACCGTGGTGCAGGCGCCGGAGCTTGGATGCGTGCATCGGGGGCCTTGGGTGTGTCCGCTTCAGCTAACCATTCGTCGAACGTGGCCGGTAAATACAGTTGGAGCACGGGCCGTTGGTGAGCACCTGCCGTAACAGACTCAGGCGGATTCGGAGGAGCGGGAGGTGCGGGAGGAGCGGGTGGAGCAGGAGGCGCAGGAGGAGCAGGAGGAGCAGGGGGTGCAGGGGGATCTGGTGGCACTGGAGGCGCTGGTGGCTCACGGGTATACCACCCGTCCTCGGTAAGTCGCCATGTGCGGCGGGGCTTTTTCTTGAAGAGGATGTGAGTCCCACTAAATTCCGCCATGGCTTCGCCTGCCAGGCGGGGTTGACAAGAAACTGAATGAAAAAATCAGAGAAGAGGGTGAAGAAATGGGCAACGACGGTGACCCCTGCTGCGTGGCGGCTCGGGTTCCTCGTCGATGACAGGCAGGAAACCCCCACCTACTCCCATAGAGGCGCCTGCGTGGCAGCATCTACGCTGCGCTGGCAGGGAATTTTGCCGAACCTTCGAGATGGTTCTGCCCGAATGCACATGCCACGCAGCGCATGCGGCTCTGATTGGGCCGCACGGCAACATCCTCGTCACGGCTGTCACTGTCGATGTTTCCAGACAATATTGTGCGGTGGGAAACCGAACCGTTGCGGTTTCTGCCTGAAAACCATGCACGATCCCACTTGGTGCATGGTTGGTTGAATTCGCCTTATTGAGAGCTTCACAATGGTGTGTTTAAAATTGACTTTCATTTTATCCTTTATACAAGCGCATGCGCTTATAAATCAGACTCAATTATAAGCGCACCCCCCAAAAAAACCAGGTTTTATTATAAGCGCAGGTGCGCTTATATCCGGGGTATTACGGTATGAAGTGTCAGGCCACTATCGCGTCCAGGTCTGAAACCGCCTTGTAAAAATCTGCCCTGGCGTGCAATCAAAGCTCGGTCCATGCCTTCTCGACGCTGCGGGCGCGTGTTCTATTGGTGGTGAACAGGCCTCAGGATAGGATTTGACTTAGTTTTTCTCGTAAGGGTGGTTTGCATGAAGTGGTCATTCTGTAAGGGTAAAAAAAAAAGCGCTTTGAGAAATCAGTGTCATTTTCAAAACCACTTTTTTTTTTCATCAGTGTGAAACGCTAAGTTACCCTTTTTTGAATTCATGGAATAGACATCATGGGCAATCTAGGCTATTCTATTACAATCGTAAAACTATCCAACTTGTACAGATATCTAGCACATGCTAATAGAGGAAATCTGATCCTAGGCGTCGCTTCTTGATAGCCCGAAACAGGGTCACCACTTGCGGCCAGTTCACATCCTCGCTTAGCAGAAGTGCACAGGTCATGAGAGATCACACAATCTTGCATCGCCCAGGCATGTCTTGCTCCACGTCTTGATGCGGTTCTGGCAGCTGAATCCGCGCTTGCACTCCACGGTGCTGAGAGGGAGCACGGCTACAGCTTGCCACAGCTGTATAAGGTTCGGGTAGGCACCAGCGTAGTCAGTGGTGCGGAGCATGAGGGTGAGGGATTTGTGGAAGCTGAGACTCGCATGGTTGAGGGATTTGTGGAAGCTGAAATATGTGTGGTTGAGGTCCATTGTGTGTAGAAACAGCGGGAGCTCCCTCTCGCACAACTTGAAGCAGACACCTGACGGGAAAGTGGGTACACGGGGGAAGGATGATATTGGTGGGTTTTAAGAACATGTCAACAAACAGTAACAAGCGCAGTAATAAAAAACAACAACGCGCCAACGCGCGTACGCGGTTTAGGGGTGTTCGTGGGTTAATCTTAACATGATGCCGAAAAGCACCAAACGCACGTACCAGGGAGACAGTAGTGGAAAGTCTTGTCGAGGAGTCCCAGCCACTCACAACACTTTTTCGTCCGCTGACTGTTGCCATCGGGATACGCATCCGGGCGGTACAAATTCGAGCTGCTCAGACCCGCCAAATCCTCGAGTCGAAACTCCAGCCGCCCGATGGTCTCCCAAGCGAAATCCTGACACACTTTCTTGAATGCATAATAATCGCTGCCAGTGATATGGCCCTTGATGGGCCTCTCGTGAAGCTTGAACGTGTGAGTAGCGGGTGCGCGTCCTTGTCAACGCCTTCGACCGTCACTTCGCGGAAGGAGGGATCCCCGTGCTTCTTCTAGAAGTTGCACAGCAATGGCGACTGCTTGTTGCCAAACCTGTCCTCACAATCTGCGTATCGCATCTCGATCGTGCGACATGCGAGAGAAACTTCACCAGCGACCACAGTGATGTCCACCTGCAAAGGGTTAACAACACACATATCCGTTGAACATTCAACAATGATTAAATAAATCCAGCACGATAAGAACTTACTAAAAGTCACCTGATGCTTTCGAAACTTCAAGTTCAAATCCTTGAGGATGGCGAGGATGTTGGCAAAAAGAAAAAGCATGAAGTGAATCTTGAACGACGTGACGACTTCGTACAGCTCGTGCTTGTACTCGAATAGCAGCACCACGGTCGCGGGCAATGCCTTGGCAAACCCTTTCACGGCCTCACCTCTTGAAACCCATCTCACGGCGTGAATTCTCTGAAGTTTGAAGTTGGTGTCCCATATTATCTCCTGCAAGTGTTTGAATCGCTGGAGCCACACGCACCTTTGCGACAACTGCCCCGCAACACCACGGACGGCCGTATCGACGATGTTAAACTCTGGCACTTTGAGAACCACATCTTTTGCAGCCAACGCCTCTCTGCACAAAGACAAACATAAAAAATTAGTTCATATCAAATGGGGTATACATATTAAGGTGCGCATAATAGCTCTTACCGATGAGCGATGCAGTCGCACGAGGCGAGATACGGTTTTTTCGGGCGGAGTCTTGAGACCACACCCGTGCTGGTGCCCGCCATGACCCTGGCACCGTCCCAACTATCTTGGTCATGTCGATGCCGATGGCATCTAGGTGCGTCAGCATCACTTCAGTAAGGCTGCCGGCGTCGCATTTTTCTACTGTGAGAAGCGACAGAAACTCACAAACAGTGGTGTCGCCCTTCAAATAGGTGACGTAGAGTATCAGATACTTGCCTCGCACGCGGTCCGTGCTTTTGTCGAGCTGGACCCAATGTACGGGCTGGCGGCGATGTGCTTCAGTTGTTCCTGCCGCATGTACTTGGACACGACCTCCAGTTACTCTGAATAGTAGCTGCCCTTGTGATCCGCAGATTCAGAAGCCCGATGTCCGCCATCAACTTGATGAACCCGACGTAAGATGTTATCAGCGCTTTCCACTAGCGCTTGAAAATTGCCGTTTTCATGGCAGTGTTGAGGTGCAGTATGCTCCTATCGAGGCCCTCAAACTTGATGAGGAGTGCCTGTCAAAGTTGCTGGCTTCTCTTCGATTTCAATCACAACGGTCGCATCCGTGTGGGCTGTCAAGCGCTGGTGAGTCTGGATGCATATCACACCCTCCTGTACCGCCCTTGCCATACGCGGTGTTGGTGCTGCCAATCCCATGCTCCATGCGCCAACTGGATTTTAAAACCGGCATTCCGTCGTCAGCTTCTTGCAGAACGAGCCAAGGAAACCAACTCTTCCAGGAACTCTGAAACCTTCGATGCGCAAGGGCGAATGCAATCTCCGGGATCTCGGTGAGATCCTCCGACGGATGCAAGTCGTCATCATCTTCGTCATTGTCGATAGCGCTCTGGACGATGACGGTCGGAGTTGCACCCCTTGTGAAGCTCAACTTCGGTTGACGCCATTTCTGCCACGCAAGATCAGTGACGGGTTTCAGCTTCCTAGTTGACGCGCCCGATGACGCCCTGCGTTTCCGGTGTCGCGAGATCTGTTGGCGCGGGTTCTGGCATGGTAGTGCCGACGGCAGGAGCTGCTTCATTCGCCGCGGTGATGGACACTGTAGATTCGAATGGCTCTGCGGCTGACTGTGACAGAGGTTCTGTGGCTGGCCTCAGGAAACTTAGCGAGCGCCGTGCAAGGGGGTGAGCGAGGGACAGGACGAGCGGCATGGTCATCGTCGACAGCATCCATGGCGGCTGGAGCCATGGTGCGTTTTTTCTCGATACTGCAGCTACCTATTGCTATCCTACATAGCTAACGCTTTGAGAATGAAAAATGACCACCAGATTGGGTGTGAGAGACATGACCCCCCTGCCTGTGGTGGTGGTGGGTGGTGGCATGCAGTCACTGGTGTGTTGTGAGTTGGAGAGGAGAGGGGAGGTGGCGTCACGCCACAGCCACATTACCAACCTGTGACACGTGCTTCGTTACCGACAGGCAGGCAAAGTGGTCCTGATCTTGGTGGGAGTTCAGTTTGGCGTGAGTTCAGTTTGGCGTTGCGACACGAGCCGTCAAGGCGATGCGCACACTTGCCGCTGATTGCGATGAAAATCAAGTTGGTAATTGACAGGGAAAAACCCACACAAACTCGTCAGTGTGTCGCGCGTAACCACTTTTCCTCATAAGGCTAAGTACAGTGTGTAACTTTGGAAAAGCAGTGTTGTATAAAATTGTACTTTTTTTTGTAAGGGTCCTAGACAAAAACCACTTTGGAAAATAAGGGTGCACATCACTACCTGGCCTTATAATAAGGGCCATAAGGGTGATCTACCCTGATATCCCGAGGCCTGGTGGTGAAACTATCAACATTGAATTTGAAGGTGTGTGAGTGAGTGTTCTTAGTCCTTAGTCAATATCGAAGTCTGATTTCAACTGTCAAGTCAGATGGGCTAGACAATTATTTCTGTAGGTCTGAAAATCAGACGAAACGAAAATCCTAAGACTGAAATTCACGACTGCCAAGATGTTCGGGTCTGATTGCTCAGACAGCCTAAAACGAATCATAGGCCCTGACTCCTAGGGAACCCATATCAATCTCCGTAATTGGGCTCCAGCATAGAACTTCTCCTCAAGTCTCTGGTGGATGTCCTCTTAGGACTTAGAAACAACGTGTGTTTTACGTGCTCCTAATAGGATGCTGGCCATCTCGGCCATATTTCTAGATAACTCTATGACATGTATTTTGTAATAGGCCATCTCTGCCATCTCTATGATAACACTCTGATATACTGTACTACCGTAACGCATGCTACCAGTATATTCGTTCTGCTGAACCCTTCGACCACCTCCGACAAAGGACTGGTCCGATGGACCAGGTGCAAACCAGGACTCCCTTGGTTCTCGTGAACTGGTCTGACGGTCCATCTCCAGCATCAAACCCAGCCATTTTTTCCGTGGCTTGCCTGCAGAATGTCTTAGACCAGGGTGGACAAGGTCTCATACCAGTCGTATGGTAACGGCATAGTGATCTTGCTTGGTTTGCGGGATGGCTCACAGCTGGCCCACCCTGGTCTGTGGTGCGGACTGGACCGCTTGCTCCACAGCAAACCTGGTGCAAGTTGTTGGACCTGGCAAACCTGTGGAAACCAATGTAGCCTAGGACGCTGCACACCCTAGGGGTTTTGTTGATCTAAACATTCAGGGGCTGCACCTGAGCCGTAGAATAGTAAGAAGGTTGCAAAAAGAATTACACAGTTTCACAAACTCCAAAGCACACAATGCGTGAATTCTTACATACGAGCAACACACATGCAATTTAAAATTTGAAGGATGGAAGGCAGGCAGAATGTGAAGATAAATGATGACATCTCAAATTACAAGACATTTCTTAGAGTGTCAAGCTTGATCCGACAATCTACTAAGCCAGGACTCGACAATATAAGTCCCAACTCGACAATCCATTTGGTAGCACTCAAGTAATGCCAGCCTGATGTGTCCCTTCCACAATTTCAGACCATGGCTTAGCACCACCTTTGCCGAGTTTCTCACAATTAATGAGTACGAATCTTCATGGACATATGCATGCACCTAGATTACGTCACTGAGCTCCTCCTTCCCTGCCACCTCCTCCCTGACAGCCTGCAGCTGGGTGGCAATGAGCGCCATGCTTGGGCGGCTTGCAGTGCGCTCCTCGGTGCAGCTCACTGCCAGCTCAGCCACGCGCAAGACAGCATCATCAGGGGCGTCCATGCGCGCATCCTTGAGGCTCTCCGCCGTGCTGGAGGAGAGGCACTCCGACGCCTGAGGGAGATTGAGAGGCGACAATGGTGAAGAGGAGAGTTAACAGTAGAAACCAAGCAGACAGGGTTTTCGTTATGTGTGTGTGTGTGTGTGTGTGTGCGTGTGTGTGTGTGTGTTTTGGGTCACTAGCATGTAAGGTAATCGACCACCCATTGTAGAGCACATATACAATGCTTCTAGAGAGAAAAAAGAGCTTTAGCACTTGCCACTTCGAGGATGTGCTTGGACTCCCCAGCAGACAGCGAGGAAGGAGGGTGTCCAGTGAGCACCACAAGCATGAGCACACCAAAGCTGCAGAGGGGGAGGGAGGGTAAGAGAGGCGTTGAGGGACAACCAGAAAGTCACATCTCCATGACCTTCCTATTTCCAGAATTCCATTGTGATAAGGTAGACAGTGCCACCAAAAGAATCAACACAGGGTAAGACGGATAATACAAGAACAACATACGGGGGTAAACGGTTATATGATGGACTACACGAAGAATCAAGGGTAAGCAAGAGCGATCACACGAGAGTCTCCTCTGGACTGCTGGGCCACTTGCAGTGCAGGCAAGTGCTCAAGACCCCCCAGGTCACCTGTAAACATCACTGGCGGTGGTGGCCTTTGACGTCTTGGCATAGATGGGATCCACAAAGCCCGGTGTTCCCATGATTCGAGTCGTGCCCACTGTCGTGCCCTCTCCCACCCTCAAAAGGCCGAAATTTGCAATCTTGGCTGGCAGGTGCCATGGCCATTGCAGCGAAGAGCATGTGAGGGGAGGAGGAGGCTGGTTCTGCTAGATTTGAAGGGGTGAAATGCGGTTGCAAGTAAAATTGCAATGGCAAATTGTTGGGGGTGGGGGTTGGATCTGCTAGTTTTGAAGGGGTGAAAAGTGGGCCCAAGTGATTTTGCAATCATAAATTTTTGCAATCTGGTTCTGTTTTGGCGAGACTGAACCTAAACACGTACTTGTTACTCGCCCCTAGACTAGTAGCTAGGACGAGTCGAGGCGACGCCCATGTATATATGGCAGCATGCAACTGATGCAATTTAGAACAGTAGCCACAGCCACAACAGCCAAAGCTCGAGCCTTGGCATGACGTAGAGATGAAATTCGTGTATGAGAACATTTCAAAAAGGTTTTGAAAAGTGTTCCCAAGTGATTTTGCAATCATAAAATTTTGCAATCTGGTTCTGTTTTGGCGAGACTGAACCCAAACACGTACTCGTTACTCGCCCCTAGACTAGTAGCTAGGACGAGTCGAGGCGACGCCCATGTATATATGGCAGCATGCAACTGATGCAATTTAGAACAGTAGCCACAGCCACAACAGCCAAAGCTCGAGCCTTGGCATGACGTAGAGATGAAATTCTTGTATAAGAACATTTCAAAAAGGTTTTACAAGGGCCTTATGATATTCTCACAAGACCCCCATCAGTGCATCATGCGGGTTTGTCTCGCTCCATGAGGCTCTCTTAAAGGCCACACCCAGAATTACCGAGTCGGGTGGCAAACTGTCACCAGTTTCACGTGATTGGTCCAGAGTTTTGAGTGTGTTGTTGAAGCGATTGGTTTCCGATTTTCCCACCGAACCTCCTTCTGGGGTGTTCCGAACCTACAATTTTCACGTTGACTTCGTTGTGTGATTCAGGCTTTGGGTTTTAAGCCTCAC